TGTTCAAGTCCCTTGCCCACAATGAAATGGGATTGCTTGTTCTTTTCTTATTAATAAGTTTGAGTTCTCTGTGGATTCTGGTTATCAAACCTTTGTGAGAAAGTATTTGCACCAGATTGTTCATTGCAGCTCAATTCATAATAGCCAAGTCATGGAAGAAGCCCAAGTGCCCATCAACCCGTGAATGGATTAATAAATTGTGGTATATGTATACCATTGAAAATTATGCAGCCTTAAAAAAGATAGAGACTTTGCCTCTTTTATATTTATATGGATGGTGTGGGAACATATCTTACGTAGTAAAGTATCTCTAGAATGGAAGAATAAATATCCGATGTACTCAGCACTATTATAAAACCAATTTTACAATCACTCACTCTTTCATATGAAGAATAGATCACAACTATGGCCCAAGATGAAGGAGGGAAAGGGGAGATAATAGGGGGGAATGGTGAGATCACACCAATGGTGCATAATGTAAGTGTACATGTCAGATCTATTAGTATAGAATATAAATGTCTTAACACAATAAGTAAGTACACAAGATGAGATATATATATTAACCAGTGTGACGTAAGCGTTCCTAATTCTATATGAAATCAGCACATTGTACCCCATAAATGCATTAATGTATACATAATCTATGTGTTTGTGATTTAATAAAAATAAATAAATAACTAAAAGATATACTCATCTTTATTATCTCTCTCTTTTTTTAGGTGTGGTGGGCAGCTTCTGACTTGGGTTGGGTTGTTGGACATTCCTATATCTGCTATGGACCACTTATACATGGAAACACAACAGTTTTATATGAGGTAATAAAATTAATACCATGCATATATAGTATTTATTTTATTAAAACAGATTGAGAATTGGTCCCAAGTAGAAACAGAACAATTTGGATGGGGACAGTAGACAATTTTATGTTTTCTTCCAGTTAAAAGTATGATTTCAAAAGAAAAAGAGATAGGTATGGGTGGCACCTGTGGCTCAAAGGAGTAGGGCGCCAGCCCCATATGCTGGAGGTGATAGGTCCAAACTCAGCCCCAGCCAAAAACTGCAAAAAAAGAAAAAGAGATATATAGAAAACAATAGTCAGCTATTTCAAACATATAGAAGAAAAAAGTCAATAGAAATTATTTTGAAGAACATGAAAGAACACCCTATTTTCTATTTCTAGATGATTTCTAGAAAGTGTTATCAAACTAATATTAATTTTAGAGTTCTAGAAAAGAAAATAGTAACCATTAAACAAGTCACATAGGTTCACATTTTCATCTTTTCATAGTGTTAGTGGATTTACCAAGGTAAGGTGTCTCAATTTTAGGTAAATATTATCCATGGTTTCTGACAATAGCTTTGTATATAAGGTGGAGAAATGTCGACTGACCAGATTCATAGCTAAATAAATAACTGTTGGAATGCTCGAATGCATGGAATAATGTCACCTAGGAATAAGGTTTCTGTATGTACACTAGAATATTTCTCTCATATGCATATTCTATTTAATTTTATAAATGTCTTACATGAAAACTTAGAAAATACATCTATAGGATTTGTAAGAGACAAAATTCTTGTATGGATAATAAACATGGCAGTTCACCAAATAGTCATTCAGAATGATTTTAGACATTTGTGACAAAACTAACACGACCAAAAGATACATAAATCTTCTTAGTTATACACTTAAATTAATAATAGTGAAGAAATGGGCAGTGCCTGTAGCACAAAGGAGTAGGGGACTGGTCCCATACACCGGAGGTGGTGGGTTCAAATGCAGCCCTGGCCAAAAAGTACAAAAAAAAAAGAGTGCAGGAATGGCAATCCCCTTGAGGGCAGGACACAATTATAACAGGGACTTTACCTAACAAATGCAAACCTTGTAACCTAATTCTTCATACCTTCAATTAACCTGAAACAAAAAAAAAAAAAAAATGGTACAGAAATAAAACAGGGGAAACTTGGGTTGGTTGCACTTTCTGTGGTTCAATCGCTGCATGTTGTAATGGTTCATAGCTCAAAAATAAGCAATGCGTAGGATTGCTTTTTTAAAAAATAAATGCTCTATGTAATAGTATAATCTTAATTTACTCTTCCACATTTGAAAATTTGTGTTCAGTTTTATGTTGTTTAATGGAGAATATAAAAAAAATATTAAATTAGTGGGAAGCATTGGAGAAAGAGGGACTAGATGAAAATCATGTTATACGTGAAAGAGATGAAGGATTTGAGGACAGTCTGAAAAATAATATATTTAATGTGCATGTAAGTGCCTTTTGATTTTGAAAAGGCTGCCACATGTAATGTAAGGCCCCTTATAACGTAGTTATCGAGAGTTATATTTGGAGAATATTCAGAGACAAATTTAAATGTCTAGTAGTAGCATAAGTGATAACTTTTCAAATATAAGGCTCTTTTCCCATAAAGTTGTCCCTTAATATCCAACAAGGATTGTGTAGAAAATAATTGTATGTATGGGACATGGAGAACAGTACTAAATGATGTCAATGTATTTTATAATCTTAAAATTCTGCACCTCAGTGCTTCTAAAAAAAAAAAAATCAGAGGCTATTTCTGTCTTTCTGAATGTAGTCCTTATCATTCGTGTTCCTTCATTATTAGCTGGCTGGTTTTCTGCTCCTGAATGCTGAGAGATATCACGGCAGGCTTTGCCCTAAGAATCAAACCATCACACTCTATTCTCCACCTTTTGTAACGTGCTTTTGTACCTGGCAGACGTGATGTGAATTTGGTGTTTTTAATAATTAAAACATAAAATAATCTTGACAAATATGTTCCTTGCCAAAATCCTTGCAATAGAATGAGTGTTTTTTTTTAATTAAAATAATCATTTCCCTGGAAGTAAGCAAAATAAACTTCAACACAGAAGTGTATTTATTTATAGGCCTGGCTTACATAAATGCAAAGAAGACAAAAATGGCAGTCTGTTCTAAGTATTTGTAAGTAGTAAGCTGTCTTC